ATTGCCCAGTCTTACAGCACAGGCTAAGTCATTAGACTCGGATGTTGAGTTTATTGCAGACCCAGTCTGATAACTGAGCTCAAGTCTCCCCCTTATTGAAATCGTTTCAACATGATCATGACAACAGTATTTGATAACTACATCACATTGTCATTGATGATATGAAACAGTTATTCTACATTTGATATTTCTCCTGAAATCATGTATTCTATTTAGTGTAAAAAAAAATGCTAACCATGAATGAATAATACTAAAGCAATAGTAATATTTTAAATATCTGGTTAGTTTTGGGGAGCTCTGATGGTGTAGTAGTCTTGAAGATATTCTTCGTTAAATCCTTCTATCTTCAGTGTAATAAACTCCTAATTAAGGTGGCTGATGAATATGTCAAAGTGTGAATAGTTGCAGATAACTATAATGTAAACCACAATAACAATAATGTTTATTTCCTTAGGAATATTGTGCATGTATTCATTGTATGTGCTAGCTAGCATGTGCTACAGTTTATTAAAGCATCTTGGATTTTCTAGATTTCTGTAAAGGTGAGTTTAGTTTTACATTATAGTGTTAAAATTGTTGTTGTTTTGGTTTGACCTAACTCATAGTGACCTCTCCTTGGGTTTCCGAGGTGGTATCACTATGGAAGTAGATTGCCCAACCTTCCTTCCGAGGAGTGGCTGGTGGGTTTGAACTGCCAGCTGTCTGGTTAGCAGTCAAGTGTCTTAGGCAAGTATCAGAGCTCCCAGTTAAAATTATTATTTGACCTTATTTTTATGGGGTAAAATTTGGGTAGGTGAGATGAATAAGAAAAAAAAAAGATCAGTGTACAGACTTAATCTTACCAACAAGAATATCACTCATCTGAGTCTCACTTTATCTCACCAGTCAGTCAAAAACCCTAGAAGGTATAATGAAAGAGTTTCCTAATATCAGTCACTTGGTCCATTCTTTAAATGCTATGTATAGCCAATGGGGCCTGGTGACTTGAATCCTGCTAAGGCAGCTTTGGGGATGCTGAGCCCACACCAGTAATAATAAAAAGGTCACATGAAACACAGAAGCACCCGTGGTGCTTTTTCTGAAGTGTCCTGACCTAGGCCAGGCTGAATGAGGGCGATCCAGTTTGGCAATCAGTCCCTTAAAAGAAGGTCCAAACCAAAACCAAACCCATCGTCATGAAGTTGATTCCAACTCACAGCAACCCCTGGTGGTTTCCAAGGCAGTATGCAAATCTTTATGGAAGCAGACTGCCTCATCTTTCTCCCACAGAACAGCTGGTAGGTTATCAACCAACTGTCTTAACCACTACACCACCAGAGCTCCTTTAAGAGAAGGTCAACACCACTTAATTATCTGTTTGAGACCTACCCAGAGGCCTTAAAGCTAAACTCAAGAAAGATCTTAAATGTTGGTAAGCACAAGATAAACTTGTTTGAGAGCAACATTCCTGAATGGAATTTTCAACTTTTCCCAGTCATACTCCCCTCACATGTTCAAATTTCTCTGGTCAGATTTGGGAGACAGGGATAATCGTGATTAAATTGCAGGATACCTCAAGAGATTGCAAAACAACTAAAAGCTAAAGTTCCAGAGTGAAAATATTTCTGTGTTTTGCTTACTACCATTTTCTTTTGTTGGAATTCTACCAGCTTCACCACCACTCCCTCTCTGAATTGTTAACACCCCTTGTATCCAAATTAGAAAAAAAATCTTCTTTATACAATTCCAAAAAACAAAAGTTGAAAATACTTAAAATGTAAAACAAGAAACCAATACAACAAAACAAAAGAAAAGCAGAGACGCTGCCCAGGGAAATGGTAGGTACCTTTTGTTAGAGGAAAGGAAATGTCATGGACGAAAAGACAACACACTCACTGAAAGGGAAAGACCACAGCAGAGAGTTATAGTCCCAGCCTTTCAGTTTTCATTTTGGAGAATAATATTTGATTTGTTTCCTCCTCTATAGTACTATACTTCCCTGGCAGATGTCCCATTTTAATCTACATTGACAGGAAACAGAATGACAAAAATATTGCTGCTGTTGAAATATAAAGCTTATTTGTTTTAGCACTGTGGCTTCTAGAAACCTTGGTTTTTGCTTCCAACACTTAAAACAATCATGCTGAACACTGGCAAGTAGTCCTTTTGATCCCTTGAATTAACAAAATGGTGTTTAATATAACAATAGAAATCCAGTAACCTTAAGGGAGGAAGGTTTGTCACTAGTCAGGCTTTTTTTTTCTTTTTGCCAGGTTTTCCCAAATTCTGACAACATGGAGAAATAAAAATGACTATTAAGAATTGCTTTTTTTTTTTTTTTTTGGAGAATTAGACATTCTAATTATCTGCTGTAAAAGTTGGTTTTACAGAGGTTGTACCTTGTGTATTCTACACAATGAAATTTCCTATTTCTGTAACCATGACCTAAGCCCCAAATTGAGTAAAACCCACTAGCGATTTCAGAATGCAAGCCATTTAAAAATTTTCATCTTCGATTTTTGTGTAGCATAACTAATTTTACCACCAGCTTCTACTCTTTTGTGGAACAGAATACATACAGTGGAATATAGGTTGAAAGAGAAAACTAACTTGTCACTTAAGGTAAATTCAATCTTATTACAACTATTTCTAAAGATCCTAAAAATAATCATAACTCTACCAGAGATTCAGCCTTTTATACTGTTTGATTTTGTTGTATAGACTTGGTTTTCTACTTACAATGACCATCCATTAATCAAAACTTAGTATAGGAGGAAAAGAATATGGCAGGGACAGTGATAAGACTCATAGGAAGAAGAGAGGAGAGAAACAGGGATTTTATAATTTCTCAAGATAAATTAGGCCACCTCAGGTTTTTTTTTTTTTTTTTAAAAAAAACAAACAAAACCCGCCATGCTTAGCAGAGAGGATAGAGTGCTTGCAACATCTTTGTTATGACCTTTAAGGAAAATTTATAACAAAATTTTCTCTTGGACAAATAATTTTTAATTTTTGTCTTGGCATAATATTGAATTTCTAAAAAAGTACTTAGAATTCTGAAATTCTATAGCTAATGAAATAATCATGAACACAACAGGGTGTGTTCCGGGATAGATTTTCTGCTTTCTCATTCTAGCATAAAGAAAAACTACAAAATTCAAACCAAGAAATATTTCTCCAAAGCAAACTCTGTACTGTTTATAATGATTCTCTTATTTGTTCTCGATTGGTTGATGGAGTTATTTTTATTTGAGGACAGAACACTCATCCTGGAAAATGTTCTAATCACTCATTTTACAGTGAGCAGAAATATATACTTTTGATGAATGACTACACCAACAGTAGTAGTTCCATCAACACTGGTGTAAAATCATCAAAACATGAAAAATGTAATGATTTTCAGAAAGTAAAAATCTATGTTCCAGATGTCTTTAATAATGGGTCATCTATATCAATGTTAGAAGAACCTTAGGTGCCTTACTAGATACAGAATTTAGAAGGTTTAGGCATTCTGACTTGACAGCACATAACAACAACAGGCATTTGACTACTAACCTGAAAGTTGGTGGTTCAAATCCACCAGCCACTCCTTGGAAGGAAGGTAGGGCAACCTACTTCTATAGTGATATCACCTCAGAAGCCCAAGGAGGGGTCGCTATGAGTCAAATCTGACTCAATGGGAATAAGTTTGTTTTTCTTTTGTTTTAGGTAGCCAACTAAGGCGCTCTGGTGGTACAGTGACTAATGCATTTGACCGCTAACTAGAAGGTTGGAGGTTCAAACCCACCAGCCACTCCGCAGAAGGAAGATGAGGCAATCTACCTTTGTAAAGATTTACTGCCTCAGAAACCCAATGGGGGTTGCTATGAGTTGGAATCTGGTTTTAGCCAACTGAATGACTGAGGCCATTCTAAGGTAGTTATAGTTTATAACACCAAATTACCTACTTTATTTTGCATCCTAACTTTGCAATCTAGTAGAAACCTAATTTTTGGGTGATATATTGGTGTTGTCTTGGATAAAAGAACTGTAATATTCTTAACTTTCACCATCTGGACTCATCCTAGAATCATTGGAGAAATGTGCTCAACATACAAAAGCCTGAGTCTGAAATTCTTCCCATCTTTTCATTTCCTATAATCTAGAGTTTTAGAAATTACATTGTAAAACTTGTATGTCTATTAACATTCCGGTGAAAAAGATCATGTACATGGGAATGAGAGTCAAATGGTACAAATTATTATTCATATCTTAGTTCCCAAAAATGTGTATTGAAAGGTTATTGCTCTTCACTGTGTGGCAACAGGCCTAAAATGAGACCTTTATATCATGATTTCTAATTTAATTTTAGTAATCTGTAGAGGAGGTACATGATTTGAAATTTTTTTCCCAAATGTTAAATTGGATGTCATGATTTCTTAAGTATTATAAAAAGTAGAAATACATTCACTAAACGTATGATACTTTATTGTTTTTTGCACAATTTTTTTTCTCATAAATAATGAACCTAAAAAAAAAAAAAAAATCCCAATGCTGTCAAGTTGATTCCAACTCCTAACAACCTATAGGTCAGAGAACTGCCCTGTAGGGTTTTCAAGGCTGTAAATCTTTATGGAAGCAGACTGCTTCATCTTTCTCACACAGAGTGGCTGGTGGGTTTAAACCACTGAATAATAAGCCTAGTTTATATAAAATGGTTTCTAATTTTTTTATTATTATTTGTTATTATTACCTTTATTAAACAATGTTATCCATGCAAGATGATTAAAAAATAACTAATAATCCCAGAATATGTACATCCTATTAAGCAGTATAAATTGATCCAGTCTTTCATTATAGCAGTGGATTTTCAAGAAGTATAAAGATAAGTCATTTATATTCCAAGCACTACAATCACTTCTGGGTTAGCCATCCAGTACAATTCACAGAATCCTATTATGTGGTTGCATGTAGTTACATAGCTCTACCACAAATGCCAATACAAATATGGGAATGTCCTCATTCTAATGGCTACTGAAGAGCTAGAGGTGGGTGTCTGCGATAGGTATTCTCCTGAGTTCTACAATCTGGGAGTCAGTCATGGTGCCTCCCTCCTGGCTGCCTTGACCGGATTCATTATCACTGACGCTGAGCCCAGCACCTGCAGCAGAAAAAGAAAACAAAACAAAACAAAAAGAAAACACAAAAACCAAACTCTTAGTGCAACGATGTCTTAAAGGTTATGTTAAGCCCAAACATTTATTTTTTATTATATTAGCCAAAAGTAACCTATACACACACAAGAAAAACAATCTGTTGGTGGCATATATAATTTTGAAGCAATAGCAAAAACAACCAAACATATGTACTTGTAGGTATATATGTATGTAGGCATAGATGTGTATGTTGTTGCTAGATGCTGTTGAGTCAGCTCTAACTCGTAGTGACCTTACGTACAAAAGAACGAAACACTGCCCAGTCCTGCACTATCCTCACAATCATTGCCATGTTTGAGCCCATTGTAACCACTGTGCCAATCCACCTCGTTGAAAGCCTTCTTTTTTTCGCTGATCCTGTACTGTACCAAGCATGATATCCTTTTCCAGGAAATGCTCCCTCCTAATAACATGTTCAAAGTATGTGAGACAAAGTGTGGCCATGCTCGCTTCTGAGAAGCATTCTGGCTATATTTCGCTCAAGACAGATTTGTTCATTCTTCTAGCAGTTCATGGTATATTAAGTATTATTTGCCGACACCATAATTCAAAGACATCAATTCTTCTTCAGTCTTCCTTATTTACTGTCTAGCACATGCATGTGAGGAAAATGAAAATACCATGGCTTGGATAAGACTCACCTTAATCCTCAAAGTCACATGTTTGCCTTTTGTCACTTTCAAAAGTACTTTTGCAGATTTGCCCAACGCAATACACCATTTGATTTCCTCACTACATAAACCACATAGATGTATATATGTGTGCATATATATAGGTATATGCTGTATGTATATGTATATGCAGGAGCTCTGGTGATGTAGTGCCTAAGGCATTTGACTGCTAGCCAGAAGGTTGGTGGTTCAAACCCACAAGTCACTCCTTAGAAGGAAGGTTGGGCAATCTACTTCCATAGTGATACTGCCTCGGAAACTCAAGGAGGGGTTGCTATGAGTCAGATCTGACTTGATGGCAGTGAGTTTGGTTTTTGTTTTATATGTATATGCATTTATGTTACTGTATGCACATATATTCATACAGATACTTCTTAGACATAACAAACATCTCATGGGATTAGATTTCTTGGTTCGAAGGATTAAAGTCTTGTGGGATATTGCAATCAATTGGCATAATATAGTTCTCATAAAGTTACACTCTATATCCTAGTTTAGTGAGTAGTGTCCTGGCATCTTAAAAGCTTGTGAGCCACCTTCTAAGATACATCAGTTGGTCTCTACTTGTCTGGTACAAATTAGAAAGAAGGAAACCAAAGACTCAGAGAAGAAACTAGTTTATAGGACAGATAGTCTACAATACCATGGCCTTATCTACCCTGAGATCAGAAGAACTAATAGCACTAGGCTACTACTACAGATTGTTCTAATCACAGCCATAACTGATGGACCCTAATAGAATGGGAGAAAAATTTGAAACAGAATCTCCAATTCCTACAAGAAACAAAACAAAACAAACAGACCTACTGGACTGATTGAGAATGAAGGACTCCCTAAGACTATTGCCCCGAGACACTCTTCAAACCTTGAACTAAAAACAACCCTGGTGTCACTTTTAGCTAAAAACAAATTGGCTCAAAATGTAATGAATATCACTCAAACTACTGTGCTCCTTTAAAAAATCACCTATATGAGATCAAGTGGTCAAGAATTACTTTAAAACAAAGATAAGAATGTAGGGGGACAGGGAAACTAGATTAATGAGAATGCAACCACCAGAATGTAAATGATGAGAATGTTCATGCATTGTGAAGAATATAGTCAACGTTATTCGGCAACTCACACAGCAATTGTTGAATTTGAATCTAAACTTTTCTGTAAACTGAAAACACAATAAAATATTATTAAAATGTATATACTTAGATATATAATTGTATCAAGTTGATTCCAATTCACAATGACCTCACCTGGGTCAGAGTAGAACTGTGCTCTATACTGTTTTCAATGGCTGATTTTCAGAAGTAGAACTCTAGACCTTTCTCTCAAGGTGCCCCTAGGTGGACTCAAACTGCCAGTCTTTCAGTTTGCAGCTGAGTACAGTAACTGTTTGCACAGCCCAGAGACTTCTATACATTTAGAATAACACAATGCCATCCAGTCATTTCCAACTCATAATGACCCTATATTACAGGATAGAACTGCCCCCATAGAAATCCTATTGGCTGCAAATCTTTACAGAAGTATACTGCCATATCTTTCTCCTGTGGAGTGGCTGGTGCGTTCTAACCATCGACCTTTCAGTGCTTGCTCAATCACTGTACCTTCAGGGCTCCTATACACATTTAGATTAAGTACTATTAAAACCAGGAGCTCTGGTAGCATAGTGCCTAAGGCACTTGACTGCTAACCAGAAGGCTGGAGGTTCAAACTCACCAGCCACTCCTCAGAAGGAAGGTTGGGCAATCTACATCTGTAGTGATATCACCCTGGAAACCCAAGGAGGGGTCACTATGAGTCGGGGCCAACTAAATGGCACATAACAACAACTATTAAAACCTAACAATTATAGCAATATATTTTAATTTTTGTAGTAGTTTTTATTAATAGAAGTTAATTTATGAAGGCACAAGTTTGGGTTTATAATCTTTTTGTTTGTTTGTTTGTTTTCACATGGTTGATTCCCAAGAATGACATTTTTCTACTAGAGCTTATCATGATAAAAGAGAGAGGCTAGTAGAATTGTCAGCAGAGGGGTAGGATGCACAGTTAAAAAGCATACAGTCTGCAATCCCATATGCACTGAATCTAGTAGTCCAATAGTTGACTTGTGCAATGTCTCACAGAAATATATGCATGTGAGACATGCTGGTATTATATCAGTGCCCTCTAGATGTTGGCTCTGAATGACTCAGATCTGACCACAAGATGAAAATAATTATGTAACACAATAGCAAAACAGATCCATTCAGGAATCTCACAAAGCTAGCTGTTATAAACTACAAGCAGCACAGAGAACCTGTTCTGAGTAAACTCCACCATCCACTACATTTTCCACAACTCAGAATAACTCAGAAAATTTGAAACTATGCTACAGTAACACTTTGTTCTTTCCTTCTGTGAAATACAAACTCGCATGCTGTTTTTCTCTCTCTCACATACACACACTGTCACCCACACTCACACCCACATCCACACCTGTACCCACACACTATAAAGATGTGGCCACAGGGTGTGCTGGCTTGAATCACCAGAGATTACAGCTCCTTGCTCCTCCTTTCTAGACTTGCTCCTCCTCCCTGGGCGCTAGACTCAGCAAACAAGAAGGAAAGTGAAAAACCAGTTGCCTGTATGAACCTTAGGAAAGGTGATTCTACAGAGCTGGCACCTATGGGAAGATGGTGAATTTGCTTCATCTTAACCTATTTAGAGCTGAAAACAGAAACCCACTAATGACCTGCTTCTACACCAAATCTGGTGGCCTCTTCTGAGTCCCTAGTCTTCCTACTTTCTGTGAAAGGCTGCTGCTGAAACCCCACTTCCTTCCTTTGCTTCTGTGACACTGCCGTGAACATCTTGGGCTCTGATTTGCTGGCTCTTTTGAGAGCTCTTCTGCTTTCTCTTGCATCTCTTCCTACTGCCTAACCACCAGAAGACTTCTCTCAACTCAGCTTCAAGTCTCATGGGATCTGTCTGTGCTCTAAACCAATGTATCACCAGTTTTTCCAAGCTCAGGATAGAGAGCTGCTTGTCTCCCTTTTCATACCATGTCATTATGCTGGCACTTTTGCCTGGGATGCCCTTCTCATTCCCTGCCTACTTAATCTGGCTGCCTCTACTCTTCCTATAAATATCAACTCAGACATCACCTCTGCTCCCCATGAAACCATGATGATGATCTTTTAATATTTCTGACTGCCCTATTGGATTATGCCTTTCATATTTTTACATCTCCTAGCTCACAGGATAGTGCCCAGTACACTAGGTGTTCAACAAATATTTATTAAGTATATTAGCAAATCATACTCAACACCCTGTTATTGTTATGTACGGTCGAATTGGCCTGATTCATAGCGACCCCTCCTTGGGTTTCTGAGGCAATATCACTACAGGAGTAGATTGCCCAACCTTCCTTCTGAGGAGTGGCTGGTGGGTTTGAACCTCCAGCCTTCTGGTTAGCAGTCAAATGCCTTAGGTACTATGCTACCAGAACACCTTAGTTCTTCAAAATGCCACTTTTATCTTTATCATCTGTTCTGTTCCTTTGGTCCATTCTACATTCTACTGCCTTCTACTCAAGAACAAACATCAATTCCCACTGCCAATCTGTCAAGTTTGGAACCTTTTGCTTTGGCTTTAAGATATTCTATAATCTTGTTTGCACCCTATCAAATAGACATATTTCCAACTTTTCCCCCTGAAGAGCTTTTCCCTGAACTGAGCAGATCTCCTCACTTGTGCTGAATGGGCCTTATTAATCCCAGTCTCACTGCTTTCTTGGTAATCCATGAAGGCTCATCTTCACACCCTTTCACTAATGTTTTTTATACCATTCCTTCAAAATGCAACATTTGATACACAAAAAGAAAAGTTCCAGTTTATACCTGACAAAATTTTTACTCCTATCTCTTTTATTCTCAAATTGCCCTGGTTTGGATAATAAAACATATGGTAAACCAAAAATCAGTGGCTCTTAAGTCAATTCCAACTCATAATGACCCCATATGTGTCAGAGTAGAACAGTGCATCATAGGGTTTTCAATGACGGCTTTTTCAGAAGAATGCCCTTCTTCTGAGGCACCTCTGGGTGAACTCAAAACCATCAACCTTTCAGTTTACAGCTGAGTGCTGCCCCAACTTTGAAAGCCAGGACTCCAAAATATATGGTAATCCTATATAATATATATGTAAGTCATGAAGCACAGTGATTTACATCCATGTGCTCAAATTAAGAAATAAAAGATTGCCAAAGACAATGTTTATAAAAAATTCAAGAT